TGTTTATCCTTCTTAAGCATTGTGTCCTAAAATTGATAAAAATTGAGTCCCTATAACTGTATGCTTCCCCAAAGAAAAGTCTTTATCTGAAGTTTTTAAATAAATGGATTCATTCTGTGATGGTTTTTTAGTTGAAGTGTGATAATGCACAGTCAGTGTCGCTCAGACTTCTTGATAGCTGTGGACGCAGCCACACTAAATGAAGAGTGAATGCTGCACTGAATATATATAGTAAATGTTACAAAGAATGAATTACTTACCTGCCAGTCATTGTAAATGCTGTCCCATCCTTAGAACCTTTATTGATGTCATCTTAGCCCTTCCATTTGAAAACCCATACTTCTCTGCACTTTTTATCGTGTATCATTCTACCCTGCATTAGAGTTCTGTTTATATATGCACTTACTCTTCTGTTGCCCAAACATGCACTGTAACTAAAAGGTGCTCAGCATACAGAGGCAAAGGGCACAGTTCGGAAAGTCTGGGACTCCAGGTAAGCGCCCAGGGAGCTTGTCCTCCTCCTCCGCCCCACTGCGGAAATAAGAGCGTGTAAGAGTCCAGAGCATGGTGAAGGCTGGCGTGTTATTGGTGACTTCTTCATACCACTCTTCCCCCACAAGCCAGTAGGGTTCCTTAGGCGCCTTTCTGCTTCTGCATTCCCATCACTTTCCGGTGTCTGGGCTTTTAGAAGGCTTGTATTGTTGGAAACTGGAGCCATAATTAACACCTAATGTGTATCTGGGAGAAGGACACAGAATGAAGAATCCAGACCTAAGATGATGTCCTGAGAGCACATTGAGATGGACTCTCTGGATTCCCGCATCTGGAAGGAAAAGTGAGAAAACAAGGCAGGAAAAAAATTTGGAGGTCTTTAATGACCGTGAGTCAACAGCAAAATGAACAATGAGAATCAGTTGTCCAACAGTGAGATGAACTCCCTTACATGTAAAGGAAGGGACTGCTCCCCGGTCCTGGAAGTTTTCGAGGGGCAATAATGATCAGACATTGTGAATGGGATTCTCTCTCTCTCTCTAATGGGGGTACTGGAGATGGAAGCCAGGATCCTGTGGGTGCTCAGATGTGCTCCACCACTGAGCTCTACCCACCCCCAGTGAAAGGGGTTATTTCTACATCTGGAATAAAATGGAAGGATGGCCTAATAAACATGAACTTTCTATTCTTAACTTCAATTCCAAAAACACTCAGTAATATTACTGATAGGAGAAAGCTGAAAGAAAAGGCGAGAGCTTCAAAAGACACATTTTAGAGTTCTTTTGCTTGATTCTTGCTTGTCAAAGAAAATGACATACTTAGGTATAAATCTAACAAAACATGTACAGGATCAATATGAAACGACTGGCGAAAGGAAACCTAAATAAATAAACATACCGTGTACAGAGACTGGAAAGCTCAACATAGTAAAAAGGTCAATTCTTCCTTAATCTACAAGTTTAACATAATTCTTATCAAAATCCAGCAAAATTTCATTTTGTTTTTTGTAGACAGGGACAAGCTTATTCTAAAGTTTATACAGAATGGAAAGGCAAAAGAATAAGACAATCTTAAAAAAATAGTCTACCCTATGTTAACAGCTACAGGAGTCAACACAGTGTGGTTCTGGTGCAGGGATAGACACATAGATCAATGGAACAGGGATTCTGGAATACACCAAGTCCAACTGATTTTTAACAAAGGTGCAAAAGCAATTCAATAGGGAAAAGACAGCTTTTTAAATGGTGAAGCAACTGGGACAAACAGGTAAAAACATGAACTTAAATGTTAAAACTATAAAGCTTTTTGGAAAAAAAATGAGAAAATCTTCAGGACTTAGGTCGAAACAAAGAAATTTCCACACTCAACAGCAAATAAACCCATAAAAGGAAAAACCGATAAACTGGACTTAATCAAAAGTGAAAACTTTTGCTCTATGGAAGACTGTTAACACATTGATCGCTACTTCACCCAAAGCTGGGTGACAGTTGTTTTTCCTCAGGGGCACTCACTCCACAGTGAGCGATCAACATGTTAAGGGGATGAAAAAATAAGCTGATAACGGAAAGAAAATAGATGGAAACCACGTATCCTAGAAAGGACTAGAGTATATAAAGAATTCTCAAAGCTCAACAGCAAAAAAATGAGCAAGTGACATGAACAAACATTTCACTGAAGAAATATGTGGATGGCAAATATGCACATGAAAAGACGTTCAGCATCATTAGCCATTAGAAAAATTCTAGTCACTACATGTCAACCACAGTGGCTAAAATAAATAAATAGTTACAACATCAAATGCTGGTAAGATGTAAGAGAAGTTGGATCACACTCACGTGGTAGAGTCAGTCTGGAAAATACTTTGGCAGTTTCTTTTAACACTATATATGCACTTACCATGCAAGCCAGCATATATATTCTTGGACACATCCCTGAGAAATGAAAACATAAGCTCAAATAAAAACCTGCACACATATTATACATAGCAACTTCATTTGTAATAGCTCAAAATTGGAAATAACCCAAATGTCCTTTAAAGAGTGAATGGTTCAACTTTGGTACAACCGTACTATGGAACACAATGAAGCAATAAAAAGGAACAAACTATTGACACATGCAACAATTTGGATGGACCTCAAAGGAATTATGATTAGTGGGGAAGAAATTGTAGAAGAACTGTAGAACACTGTATGAGTCCTTTTATGTAACATCCTTGAAATAACAAAATTATAGCAATAGAAAACAGATTAGTGGTTGCCAGGTGTTAGGAATGGAGAGAAGAAAGGGAATGTGGCTAAAAAAGTCAGGCTTGTTGTGGAACAGTTCAGTCTTGATTGTGATGGTTACACAAATATACATGTTACCAAATTCACAGAGCTATATACACACACACACAAATGAGTGCTTCTAAAATCAGTAAAATCTGAATAAACTCTGGATTGCATTGACGTCAATTTTCTGGATTTGATACTCTAGTATACGTACGATGTCGCCATTGGGGGAAACTGAAGAGTACACAGGAACTCCCTGTACTTTTTGTTTTTTGCAATGTCTTGTGAATCTATAATTATTTCAAAATAAAAATTTAAAACAAAAATGGGGCAGGTGAATTTTATACCTGAAACAGACATTAGTGTGTTATAATATACATATTTCTGAATGAATCCACGAATGAGTAAATAATTTAAATAAAACCAAAATATTCTTACTGAAAAAACAATTGTCATTTTAGGTATTGGTTCAGTTCTTAAGAATTTAGTTATTAGCAGGAAGGTGAAACACGGTATTCTTCCAGGTGCTAAGGAGTTGAGCCTGATCGTTTTTACATGAAATATGAAAGAA